TTCTAGTTTTCTTCCTTCTAAATTGAGTTTGAGTTGAGTTGAACTCCCACCTCTTTACCTTTCATTTAAGTAATCATTTTGAGTTATAATGGTTCAAATTAACTGATATTTTTTAATTTGTCTCAAATAATTTGAAATAGAAATTAGTTAGATGTACAAGAAATTAGCAAAATTCTTATATTTCAACTAAGTGAACTAAAAAAGACAAGGTGATTATATTCTGTATATATTGCATATATTGAAAATATACACATAATATAGGTTGCCTTTCTATATACAGTTGAAACCAGACGTTTACATACACTGTATAAAAAGACATAAGTTTAGAAAAACTTTTCCTGTTTTAGGTCAGTTAGGATTACCAAATTTATTTTTATTTGCTAAAAGCCAGAAAAATGAGAGAGAGAATTTTATTAGAGATTTTTTTACTACTTTCTTCAAAGTCAGAAGTTTAAATACATTAAGATTACTGTGCCTTCAAACTATTTGGGAAAGCCCAGGTGATGATGTCATGGCTTTGGAAGCTTTTGATAGGCTAATTGACAACATTTGAGTTAATTGGAGGCACGTTACACCTCGTTACGTTACACGTGCACACCTGTGGGTGTATTTTAAGAAACAAACACACTGCTTCCTTTTGTGAGAACATGGGAACATCTAAAGAAATCAGCCAAGATATCAGGAAGAGAATTGTGGACCTACACAAGTCTGGTTCATCCCTGGGCACAGTTTCTAGATGCCTGAAGGTTCCACGTTCATCTGTTCAAACAATTATATGCAAGTATAAACACCATGGGAATGTTCAGCCATCATACAGCTCAGGAAGGAGACGGGTTCTGTGTCCCAGAGATGAAGTGTGTTGGTGTGAAATGTGCATATCAACCCCAGAACAAAAGCAGAAGACCTTGTGAAGATGCTGCTGAAGCTGGTCGGAGAGTCATTATCCACAGTGAAACGAGTTCTGTACCGACATGGGCTGAAAGTCTACTCAGAGAGGAGGAAGACATTTCTCCAAAAGCAACATAAAAAAGCAGATTACAGTTTGCAAATGCACACAGGGACAAAGACCTTAATCTCTGGAGACATGTCCTGTGGTCTGATGAAACTAAAACTGAACTGTTTGGACATAATGACCATCATTACATTTAGAGGAAGAAAGGGGGAAGCTCGCAAACCTGAGAACACTATCCCAACTGTGAAGTACGGGGGTGGGCGCATCATGCTTTGGGGGTGTATTGCTGCAGGAAGGACTGATGGACTTTACGAGATAGATGGTATCATGAGGAAAGAAGATTATGTGAAATATTGAAGCAACATCTCAAGACATCAGTCAGGAAGTTAAAGCTTGGGCACAAATGGGTCTTCCAAATGGACAATGACTCTAGGTATACTGACAAATTAATTACAAAGTGGCTTCAGGACAACAAAGTCAATGTTTTGGAGTGGTCGTCACAAAGCCCTGATCTCAATCCTGTAGAAAATTTGTGGGCAGAGCTGAAAAGGTGTGTGGAGCAAGGCAGCCAACAAACCCTGACTCAGTTCCACCAGTTCTGTCAGGAGGAATGGGCCAGAATTCATCAAACTATTGTGAGACGCTTGTGGAAGGAAACCCAAAACATTTGACCCAAGTCATACAGTTTAAAGGCAATGCAACCAAATACAAAGGAAATGTATGTAAATTTCGGACTTTAAAGAAAGTAATAAAAAAAATTCTCTCTCTCATGATTCTAGGGTTTAGCAAATAGAAATAATTTTAGTAATCCTAACTGATCTAAAACAGGAAAAGTTTAGTCTGATTTAATGTCAATGAGAAAACATTTTAAGCCGGTGGCTGAGTTCAGAGGGTTATAAAAGCAAGTCTTCTGCTATCACATCCTTCCTAACTCACCGCATGAGAACAGCACGGCTTCACAACACATGTAAACACCTCTGAAAAGCTCTGGACCTGGCAAACATTTACCATTTGTTCATGGGAACTAATATGTGTCCATACAGTGAAGTATTAACAACTCTATATATTACTATTTGCACTTTCCCACAGCTGTGATAAATGTGTTTGTTCTGCTATATTGTACTTTAACAAGTGTTTAGTTTGGCATTATTCATGCGTGCAGGACAGATACAACTGAATGATGGGAAGCAAAGATAAAACATTTAAAGCCTTTTCTATAATTACAGGCTTTCAGCGTTTATTGGCATGGGTGTGATGGGAAGACACGTTCACTATTAACCTCAGAGGTTTCTGGTGTGACTCATTCTGATCCTTCCTTCTGCTAAATGTGCCAAATGTGAATAGAAAGAAGCTTTAACCCCTCATGTTCATGTCACTGAAAAGTCTATTTGTTGTGTTACAGAGTGAGACGGCCTGGCTCCAGTGTTAGACATCCACACTGGTTACAGATACACCTGCTTGTCATCTTCCTGGCAGGTAAGACCTGACACTGGCTGTGACTGATCAAAGTTGAAAAAAAGGTTGTCGGCAGACAATGGAGCAGAGGCGTCTGTCAAGTCACATTACCTGGACCGACAACTCTGCACCACTATTTATAAACCGCAATGTCTGGCATGCACACACACATGAACAAGTCAGATTCCTTCCTAATTCATACTGTAACCTGTTGGTCGACTCTGATAGTCATCTGTTTACTTGTCGCACGGATTTCACAATTCTGTAGTTTTTGAGAGGAAGTTGGAAAATATGACAAAGGGAACCCAAGAGAAAAATGTTGGTGTTTGCAAGAGTCTTTTGTTCTTCTTATCAAAGAGAAAATCATGTTGGTATTCGGAGATTACTGTGTTGATTCTCTTAAACTGCCCCTTAGGATAAATCTGGAGCTAAAAATAAGACTTATCATTCCATCCAACTTGAGAACAATGGGAGTAACACAAGAAAAGCAGGAGTTACTTTCGAAGCTAATCGTTCTCTCCTTCAAACCTTCTGACCAGACAAAAGAGAAAACTCCCAGCTGACACTGGGTGAGAGGGGAAACACTCTACAAGTTAGGCTAACACTTTAGACAAACAACCATTCACCTCAAACTCATGTTCAATTTAGAATCACAAATTAACCTACCGTTCATGTCGCACAGGTACAACATGCAAACACCACGCAAAAATCCCCAGTTTATTAATAGATGCAAACTAAGAACCTTCCTGCTATGAGATGACAGTGTTTGCCACTGCGCCACCGTGTCGCCTTGTGAAGCTATCCTAATGCACAGAATCTGTTTTATATATTTAGAAAACTTGAATAAAACCCCAGTCAGTGATTATACTCTAATAAGAGACCCCAAGTATGGCCACTGTTCTTCCAAATGACTTAATACTGTTCACTGCACCTCCCCAGCAATACAGCCATCAAGTTTAAAGCAGCTCTGATGTCAGTTGTTGAGCTATGTGGAGTACAGACACACCCACATACACGCACAGACTTTTTTTTTTATTTACCAGCGAAATTGGTGACAAATGAATGAGAGACTCAAGTTTATATGTAAATCTTTGAAGTGAGACTTTAATTTATTTACTGAGGCAAATTTCTGATTTATAAGCCAGCCAAGTTTTCTTTTGGACTTTAGTGTTAGCTCAGGAGCTGACCTTTTTCAGAGAAAAAACATTTAGTTCAATGAAATGAATGCTTTAAAAAACAAAAACATATTTTAAGATGTTAAATGGGAGTCAGCTGAGATGAAAGGGAGGTTAGTTTTCAGGAGCTGACTTTAAGAAGAATGAGAAAATGGTCAAATCTCATGATGGTAAACTGAACTTAATAATGGCTGTGTCATGTCTTCTTTCCCTCTGGAACAAACTGAGGAAAGTGTATTTCAACCACTTCTGGTAACTACCGCATCAATCTGAAATTCCCAACCATTTATAAGCAATCAAAGTTGCCAAAAGTGCTTCATGATGTCTGCTTTTTTTCTTTATTTCTTAATAATCATTTATATTCACTAACAAAATCCCAACCCCAAATTCAAACGTGCACACTGACGCTAGTCCATAAGAATGACAACTGGTAACTGTGCCATGATGTTTGGTGTCTAACCTACACTATCAGTGTAGGGCTTTGTCGAACACTGTGTAGATTAGTAACTGTATTGTTTTTCCAAATCAGGTCAAGCTTGCTGTCAGACCACCACTGCTCCTTCCACTCTTTCTGTTCCTACAACACATGCACAAACCTCAGGTAAACGACACTTAACAGGTTCATCTTCCATCAGTAGAAACATTTGTTTCATCTAAGCCTGTGTTACTGGGTGCTTGCATGAATTAACCAACTACAGCATCTCTGTTTTATTCCTATGGCAGTACACTACTTTCTTGATGTCACTGTGGATGTCACTGGACAGAACAAGAATGAAACAGAAATTATTGCCTGGGTATGTCGGGAAGCTTTTTATAGGCAATTTACTTATTAACATATCAGATGTATGATTAGATCCTGTGATTGCATTTTATGAGCATCATGTTCTTTTTCTCAGCTTGGCCAGGTTTTTCAGAACACGCTGGAGAACTGCATATCTCCAAACCCTGACGCAACAACAGCTACACCCACCTCTCCACAGAGTACACCTGAGAGCACCTTAAACGAGACGACGACTGCAACAACACTGCAAATTTTTAACACGACAACAGCTACAACTACAGTGCGACAAAACTTCAGTACGACTGCAACAACAGCGTTACAAGGCAACAGCACAACTATAGTTTCAACAT